CAACAGAGCTGCTTCATGGAAGAAGAACCTCAGCTTAGCCTGTTAGCTTTAGTATTAGCGCCGACGCTGTCACCATATATATGTATTAGCTCAGCGCTACACATTCTCCTCTCATCACTGAGGTCCTCCATCCACATGACAGAGAGGGGAACACAAAAATGACTAAGCCTGCAACTGAAAATATAGATGGAAGACCTCAGTTTGTTAGTTTGTCGTGCTAGCACCGAGCTAATACAAATAAGGCAATATAGCATGGCGCTAGCGCTAAAGCTAACAGGCTAAGCTGGGGTTCTTCTTCCATGAAGCAGCTCTGTTGTCCTCCATCCACACTTCTCTCTGTCAACGCTCTCTGTTTTTTTTTTTAAAAGAGCCAATCGTCAGATATTGTCCAAGATTAAACTTCAGGGTGGATATAGTTCGCTATCAGCCTCTCACGGAGGACCCATCGACATCATCATTTACCCAGAATGCTTTGCGTGTAAATAAAATGGCTCCGTGTTAAGATATATTTTTTAAAAAATTACAAAACTGAACAGCCTGATCATAAGATATTAAGTTAAAACTGCTGAAATGTGAAGGGTGATAACCATTCCCTCAAGGAACGCTAAGCCTTTAATTAGACYCCAGTTTTGCCGTTTCACACATGCGCCCTCTCACCCCGGAAGCCTGCATTTTCTAGAAAGTACGAACCCTCCCTGCTGTCACCCCTCCTTTAAAGGAAGATATCAGACATGACCCACATATTGTCGTGGAAAATAACAAGCAGTTAGCGCAGCTGCAGTCACAGCACGTTTTCATTTGATGCAATTGCTACGTCTTCACAAGCATGACTGTTCACCTCATCCAGACACACGTTATTACTTCCTCCTGTTCTTCCTCTGCTGCAGACACTTTGTGGCCTCACTCTCTTTGCTTTTTTACGAGTGCCTGCACGCTCTGTCGTAAGCTTCTCGGCTGCAGGTTTACCCTTTACTAACAGATCCCCGAGCTGCTGATTTTGTCTGTACTATACACACATACATACGCATTTTCACGCGGCTRCGCGATCGCAATTAGACACACAACCACAATTTTTATGCTCTCGCTCGCACACAACTCCTGTGCCGTTGTCATGGCAGCCGTCGGTAAGGCGCAGAGAGAGATTTTGGCGGTGTAATCCCAAAGGCTGAGCAGCACGAAATGTGAAGCTGCAGTGGAAAAGTAGCAAAGGGAGAGGAGGAAGGGCCCCAAAAAACATAAAGATAGAGGAACTCAAACGTGTCATTCCATCATAGCTGGAAATCTTGTGGCGAAGCGTATTTTCAAGAACAGACAAGATTGAATTGCCATCCCGTGCCAGTTTCCACAAGTTTATTTTGGTTAATTATAAATAGAAACATGAATTTTATCTTGTCTTGACATATAATTTGATGAGGCTGTAACATTTCTGCTTCCCCACCAGACGCCATGTCTGTTTATATCTGCCTGCCAGTCACTTTCCTCCCCATCGCTCACATTTCCACCTCGCTTCCTTCCATCCAAACTCCTCACTCGTCTGTCTTTGTCTTCCTCTCTCCGTCTCTTTTTGTGTTCTAAGCACTCTTTGACGTAGGTGTTCATCGATGAGCCGCCCCCGCACGCACACACACTTCTATTTTTGTTTCTTTTTTATGTAATGAGAGGGGCGGGAGAGAGGAGGATGTGGAAGAGTTTTTTGAGAGAGATGGTTGGCGGGGATGGGGAGGTGTGTGAATGAAGACTAACACAGTCACCCCCCTGCTCTCTGCTCCCCCCCACCCCACCCCACCTGCCGCTTCCAGGTGGACTATATGGATGAAAATGAGGAATACTTCCAGAGACAAGCCTCACACAGACAGTCCCGGCGGCGCTTCCGAAAAATCAACCAGAAGGGAGAGAGGCAGACAATCATCGACACGGTGGATCCGTACCCCGCCGGAAAGCCGCCCATAGCCCGGGGGTARCACACGGTGAGTTGCACCCCACGCCGCCGGTTCGTGTTTACCCTCGCTGTGGCGGATCGCTGTGCGCTCCGGCGGTGACTCAGTGATGTTCTGATGCAGRGTTGTGCTTCTGTAGTGTGTCGAACTTCTTCCAAATCTCTTGTGAATTTCTGCTCTCAGACACAGCGGAACCATTCTGCACTGTGCTACATCAACRTGTGTTTTCTTTTCCTGTTTTCCTGCCTTTTGCTGATCTTTGGTTGGAGTTTGTTTCGCTGTCATGCCGTTTCTGTTGGTGGTTCTCCCTCTTTGAGGCTGTTTTTCCAGTCTTTTATTGGAGTGTTAAGTAGTTGTTTCACGTTTTCTTGCTGGATTACAGTTGTTATGCTTCTGTTTGTGCAGAGAGACTCTCTTGGCTTTTGCCTCTCAGTTTGTCGCTTTTGTACTTGAGTCTTGACCTGTTTGTCATTTACTGTTCAAGTAGTTTCATATTCATGTTAAGAATGCACAATATATTGGCATTAATATTGGTATCGGCCAATATTGGTCATTTTTTAGAATATCGTATTGGTCCGTTATGTAAAACTGGGCCGATATTAATGTCCGATATTGATTTCCCACTTTTTAGCTTTGTGTTTCTGTTTTGAGAGTGGAGATGGTTGGTTGAGCGACATCTGTTTGATCATGATAGTGATATTGACACTGCGCAGGCAGGAATAACTGAAGTAGAGCCATGTCAGAGGTCAGGTCATTTATTTACGGTATCAAAAAAAGACCAAGTGTGCTTATAAGTGTCATATAATTTGTGTGTTTGTGTAATATCGGTAAATATCAGTTATCGGCCATAGCAGCAGTAATTATGTCGGATATCGATATCGGTGCATCCCTAATTCATACATGTTCCTTGCACCATAACCTATTAGTATTCCACTATAAATCAAAAATATATTGTCAATGCAATAGCAAGAAAGTGCAATATTAATATCGCAAACTATTTTTTATTAAATCACAGGAAAAATAAAACCCTGTAAAAAATTTGCAAACACGATAATCTGATCATTTAAATGCTTTTTGATATTAAGAACTTCATTGCTGCAGTCAGACCAAATTGTCAGGTACATAAACAGTTCCATACATATTTAATAATGATGAGATTATATTAAAATTTCATTAAGTTCCAATATTTACAAATGAGAATAAAAAATATATATTATTAGTTTCTTTGTGACTCTGGTGTTAAATGGGGCTGGGTATCATGGCCAATTCTCTAAATCGATTCGATTTCGATTCATAAAGTTCTGAATCGATTAATCACTAATCAATTCAATTCGATTCAATGAAAATGGTTCAACTGTGTTGCAAAATACAATATCACCATTTTTTTCACTTCAACATAAACAACAGGTTTTAGGGACACACTTTTATAATAAACTGTTTAAGCTTAAAAGAAAACTGTCAGAAGATTAAAAGGTTTTAAAGTAAAAAGAAAACTGCAGGGGACAATGTTGTTGGATACATTCCTTTTTAAGTAATCATTTTGATGAATAAGAGGTGATGGGAATAAGGTTGTTGTGTTCAATAAAAATTATTAAAACTAAATACATATAACATATTAAAACAATACAACTACAAAATTTCATCACTGTGGACATTTCTTAAAGTTTAAAAATAATAATATTGGTAACAAAACTAAACCGTTTTGTTTGAATGTGGTCTTTAACACTTTTAAACATGCTGTGGAGAACAGTTCAGTCAGATGTTTTCATACAGTAGTTTGGTTCGCCTAACGAGCTGCTCGTCAAACCCCGCTTCGTTTTCTCTGCCGCATATGAGCGCAAATCTTTGCAAACAAAAGTCATCATGGTCTCTGTTATCTTTAAGTTCTGCAGAGAGTCAGCTGGTAACGTTAAAGCTTCCTTAGTTTCTTTTGTTTTGATCCAGACAACTTGTTATCGAAAGCTAACGTTAGCACTGAACGTCAACCGGATGTAAACATACGGCAAGCCAGGAGTGACAAAATACAGAAACGCGCCTCAGTCAAACTCTCAAGACGCCATGGGGAAGAATCGATCTCATGTCCTGTGAATGGATTTTCCTAAATTTAAATGAAATCGATTTAAATCGATTTTTTTTACCCAGCCCTGGAAAGTAAGATTGTAAAATGCAGATCAGTCCTGCAGAAATGTGTTTGAAGTTTCTTTGAAGTTGCAGATATGTTGTTGTGTTTTCTCTGCAGAGGAGTTTGTTGCTCCTTGTGCTTTTCTTTCCCTGGGAAAAGGAACCACAAGAAAATAAGTAAATACCCAGCATGCAGTTTCTGCACACAGTTTCCTGTTCTGCATAGTTTCACAGCATTCTCCTCATTCTCGTTGCTCCACTGGGTGTTCCGTTAAGTGTACCCATTTTTTTTTACTTTGTCAAACAATCACACTCAAAATGGAGAGACATCATATTTCTCGTCTGACCCCTCAACTCAGACGTTCTGTTTCCTTTTTCTTCATGCACGACTGAACTGAACTTTCTCATGGCCCAATGTCTCCTGACGCTCTCTCAACTCTCCGTGCACCAGCACCGCTCCTGTGGGAAGGATGGAGCTGGCGCCATGGCAACCAGCAGTCCCAAATGGGTTTTGTTTGAGCGCTGTCAGAAGTACAGTAGGAAGCAAAGTTGAGAGCAGCAGTACGCCGCCACTGCTGACAAGGTGGGGTGGAGGGAGTTGACGGAGACGCTGCATCTGAGCAAACGCTAAGCTGATATAGATAATCTCCAGCTTTTAGAATGGCAGACACAACTCAGATGTTTTTTTCTTTAACCACGAGGCATGTTTAGGAGGTGAGAAATGCAGCAAGGAGATTGTTGGAATTTAAAAAATCTCCCCTGCAGGCAATAAGGTTGTTCATCTTAGTCAATGTTGTGAAGGACATTCCAAGGCCTGACATTGCCAAACATTCATGTAAATGCAAATCAATGTGACCGCAATTTTTACACGCCTTGAGGCGCAATTAAACACACCCACAGTTAGTGCAGCAGTGTGTTGGGTTTTACATTGGAAGTTCAGCCTCAATGACACTTTACTGTGTGCAGTTATCGTACAGTATTACATCATCCTGTAAAGATAAATGTCCGAGATGTTTGAACTAGTGCTGTACCAAATGATTATTTTCTAAACGATTAATCTAACGATTATTTTTTCGATTAATCAATTATTCTAACAACAAATCTATAAGTTATTCTGATGTGAGTGCACTAGAAATTTAAAATGTTTTCATCAAATTAACAAGAACAGTTCTTTAATATTGTAATATTTTCTGTAATTGTAATATTATTGTAATTGTAATTGTAATATTTTCATGAAAAACTCACCACTCTTATGCCAATATGGTCGCAATGATGCTTTTAGGTACCGAAATGGAATTGCATGAACATTCACGTGGTCTTATGTAATACAGCGAATCGATAATAAAAAATCTGCGTCAACAAATTTACATAATCGACGTCATCGATTATTTCAACTAATCGGTGCAGCCCTACTTGTGACGTCCACGGCCTACCCCAGTTACTGTGCATGTGTGTCAAGGACAGAAAGGCAGATGTGGCAGTGGAAGGTGTCAAAGCAGTTTGGAGAGAAAAACAAAGTAAAGAACAACAACAAAAAAAGAAAACGATTAATCGATTATTAAATTAGTCATCGATTGTTTTAATAATTGATTAGTTGTCGATTAATCGATTAATTGGTGCAGCCCTAGTTTGAACTATAGGTTTGGACAAGAGTAAATCTGTTTTAAAAACCTCGTTTGTCTAGCGCTCGGGAAACAAAACATTTGATTTTTGGCCTTTAAAGTTCTATTTTTTCTGCATTACAGGGTTCCCACGGGTCCTTAAAATCCTTGAAAGTTTGTGAATTTGGAAAAAACATTTCAAGGCCCTGGAAAGTTGGTGAAAACAGCCAAAAATTACGCTTGTCCTTGGAAGTCCTTGAATGTTTTTTGGGGATTGAAGTTCTCTGTTCACACGACTGATTTTCATTGTTGTTTAAAAAAAATTAATTATAAAATGAAATAAAAATACTTACATTTTATAACTCAGGATTACGATAAACTGACGTCATCGTTTCTGACTCAACAACTTATATGTTGTTCAGATTTTTATTGAATTTACATGATATTAAACCTGTTTATTGGTAACATTCTGCGGCAGCAGTAGGTAATTGCTGTTGTGCATGGTTCTTTAATTTGAGGAAATTGGTACTGAAAAGTCCTTGAAAGGTCCTTGAATTTGATGTTGCCAAGGTGTGGGAACACTGGTTTTTTTCTATAAAACTAAATTACAATTTTGTTATTCAGTAAAAGTGATATATAACATAACATAACATAACATAACATAACATAACATAACATAACATAACATAACATAACATAACATAACATAACATGCAAACTGGTACTCTGTTTACTTTTATCCCAAAAGTCAAATAAATTAGTGAAACTAGTTTTTTGCCAGTGTAAAAATTTTTCAGTGTGATTTATTTTTTGCCTCTATATTTCTCCCAGGAAATTTTTTTTATCATTTTTGTTTTGTTCTGGTGGATTTTAAACACCACCTCTTTGTCCTTGTTTTTGTTTCATGYAATAACTGAAAAGCAAATGATTTCAAGAGTAATTAATTTAAAAGGATTTTTTTTTAACTCAAGTGCTATGCTTTTATTTGTTTTGTACATCAAACCGAAATGATGTTATCCTAAATTACATTTAATATTAAACCTGACATAAATTCTTTGTGTTGTAAAAGCTGTGCTAGAAACAGAAGTGGCCTTCATTGTTTGTGATGTTTTATAACTCCAAGGCCACAGATAGCTTGGGATTAGCCATGATAGTGCATATTGTCCCTGAACAAACCTCTGAAGGAGTCTTGTTGTTTGCTGTTGAAGAATTCCAGTCTAATTCCTAAAATGTAAAAATATTGCCAACCCAGCACTAGTCCTCCCATTGGGAGAGACTTAAACACCCCATCATCACTGGAAGCAGAGCTATTATCCATATTAAATTAGGTTTATTTGGCTCTCAGGGTTCAAACATAATGCAAGATAAAATTCTTTGAACAACTAAACACAGTCTGGCCTCAGAGCAGCATTTAAATTTATGGCTTTATTTTGACTGTTGGGACAATAACTTTTACTTAGAGGACTGAAAGGGATTAACCTTAACATCCATTAGCTGATGAAGTTTCCTTAAATAATACACTTCGTAGAGTGCTATAGAGCACATTGTTCACTATTAAACCAGAGATTAGAAAGTGCAAAAACGGTGCGTTTGTTTTAGCTTTTTGTATTTACTTTTTTTGCTATTCCAACCATTTAATATCAGTTATTAATTATTTGTTTGGCGTCACAATGCGATGAGAGCAAAACATCTGTAATCAAAAGTTTTGTATTTTTTATTTTGTACTCATAACTCACAAAAGAGTATTCATGATTTGCAGAGTGGTGTGGATTGCTGTTGTGCAAAYAAATAACCAGATTAAAGATTTCATACTGAATGTGCAAGAGGACGGCAAAAGAAGTTTGTGATTACGAAAATATTGCAAAATTTTAATATGCTAGTTGCTCCTACACCCATGCCTTTTGTCTGTACACCACAGAGGCCTACAGTGAAACCTCTATACAAACCCGAGTAAAGTTTCACTGTTTAAGCTTCCTCCTGGTCAAATGACCTTTGCAGGTAAAAGATACCAATTTAAGCTTCATTTTTAATTTGCTGTTTGATTAAAAGATGTAACTTTATTTAGAATCCAAGGCATTTATCTCTTTTAACTTCTCTCCAGCTAAAAGACACGTTTTATCTTCTTCTACCTAAATGGGGTAATTCAGTAGATTTTATGGTTTAGTAGAACAAAATTAAACCATGRTAATTTAAAATGCCTGAAAAGGATGAAATCTCTGATTTAAACACACATTTGAGGTTTATTATCACAAGAAACAAATCAGACCATTCTGGCATTTATGAAGACAAAGATAAATATTGAAAATATGATTCGGTTTCCATAGATAAATCATGGCAGTAAAAGAAGACAGTGTTTAGGATCCAACACACGCCTTCTGTGCGCTCAGAGCAGTGAGTTGACACTTGTTCAAAATAGACACACACACACACACACACACACACACACACACACACAC